GGATTGTTCAAAGATGCAAGGTTATTGACTCAGTGACGAAACGATCAGAAGCCGTCACGCTTAAACTGGATCTTCTCAAACGAGGAACTACTTAGTGATAACCTGTCAATCCTGGCTGCCTTAGACAAGGTGATTATGCCATAATAGCCTTCAATATTGTCGGCGAAACATCCTACCGACAACAGGCGTTGTAACTACAAACGGTTGGATGTGTCAGCTTTACAGGTCAATCTACAACGGGCGAACTGGACAGCCTTCAATTTGATGTAGACGTACATAGGGATTCCATACTGCATACAATCATAAGTGCTACAAAACAGTCTGACCCACAAGCGGTTCCCAGAAATTACATAGAATCCACAAAGAACCATCATCAAGAATCACCCACGACGTGAAACTTTGTGAAGAATTTCGAAACCAAGATTATAAGCTGACACCTCGGCAGGATCTGGCTCGATTTTGAAGTTGGACGAGGACCATCGGACCTTATTTGAATACTCTAAAGCGTAAAGTAGTCTACATGTTGCAGGCTACGAATACAACGTAGGTAACTCTTCTCTGATGGTATCCCAAGTTGAAAACGATCTAAGTGTTGATAGCCTGCAATCTGAAGTCTTACGGTAACTGAGACAAAAATGTCTTTCGAGCAAACCCTTGCCCTGTTAAGTCCAGATATAATTTTTGGCCAGTGTGATGGAAGAACCTCCCATATAATCTTAAACACTTTTATTCGTCTCAGTTTAGACTACTGAAACACAGTATTTCCTCTCTCACTCCAGAAGGATAACGATACTCTGGAACTTATCCATCGGTTAGTCACGAAACCAGTTCACGGGCTCAAATTCAAGCTCTATAAAGGGCGCCTTCAATCACTGGACCTTTACTCATTAGAGTACAGGCGTCTTAGAGTTGACCTTCTAATGACTTAAATCATTTTAAACGCTCTTGGGCATCCACTCAATCACCTAGTTAAACTCAGTCCCAACGCCAATTTTGAGGGAAGCACCCAGAAATTAGAGACATAACACAGGGGAATTGACTGTATGAACAAATCTCGTGCTTTGAGAGTAGTCGAATTTCGGGATTCACTTCCGGCTGAGTTAGTCCAAAGGAGTTCCCAGAAGTCCTCTATGAGAAAGCTTAACATAATATTACGGGCTGAGGGCAGTATCTCATTATGACTTACTGACACTTCTCTTTTCACCGTAAAATATACCTAGGTTCCTACCTAGAGACGTCACTGACCTACTGATACTAGATACGGGAGCCTTTTAAGTTTCTATTACGTCCAGAACCATTTATACAAGCTCGTGACAAAGACATTGAATGTAAGTACTGCCTTGTCATTATAGGACTATCAACCCCTATTAAAATAGTGAAAATATACCGGCTCCACATGGAATCATACAGTTATTTCCGAATTCTGATATTGTGGTAATCTTTTGAATATATCAGTATTGCACTTTCAACCTTGACGGTAACTAAGTTTCCTCTTTGTGCATTAGTATGAAAAACTCTTAGGAAGATTGGAAGCTTATTTATATATCAACTTTATCTCTATTTCTATTGCTAATTATTTTCGATTGCGAGCACAGTTATATGTAAGTATAACCAGAGTAATGAATATACATCCCGTTCATTGTTGAAATGTCATTATCATATGTTATCTCTAGATTCTTGACACATTGTAACACAGGTGATTCCAGTACCATTTGTGGTTCTTAAAACGTTTAAGAAATTTCTGTCCGCAAGCTAAATTAAAAACTGCATCTAAATGTGCAGATGGGGTTGTCAGGCAAACGACACAGTATCTTAAAATCGTTTCACGTACTGAATGATAATTAATTATTAAGACATACATGTGCAAGTGGTGTGGAACGAGATTTTGTAAAGTTTGTTTGGTCGGAGACTTTCAAGGAAAAATGAAAGCTGAAGACCACTGTTTTGTTTGCAATCAGGTAAATTCCCAACACTTTTCTTAGTTTTATAAGAACCTGGAGATATCTACTTATCTCAGCTACTGTTAACATACTTCATATGGATTTAAAACCCATAACCTAGCCTTACTCGGGTTTTATGCAGTAGTAAGAAAGGGAAAAATTTAGTTAACTTTGATGAATGGAAAATCTTGTCTAGACAATTAGATTACACTGGTTTAATTAGCATCTCATTCGGCAGTTAGAAATAGATCGTATTCAGAGGTACGTTTTAATGCTTATAGTAACTTGACTGATGTCTATGCACTGAATGTATAAGTAGACAAATTTGCACGAGGTAAAAACAAGTGGCTCAGGGACATATTTGAGTTCTTGTCTAACAAATAAAGTTTTTATGAAGTTGAATTGGCATTGATTTGGGGATTTATCTGTTTTTGAAGCATCAAGATCTATCTGGTGAGATGTTGTTTCAGATTTATAGCACATAGTTAACCTAGTATACATAGCCAATCTCTAGTTTGTTTACACTGGTGCCTTATGTAAAAATGATCAGAAATATGTGATGCGATATTACCAGTCACTAGCACAGAGAACAAAGGAGACGAAATATTCTCATAAAAATGGCTCATTATTATCTCAAACATTTAGTATATAATTAGTGAAACAATCATCAAATATACAACGACATAGAAACAAATCCCCATATTATGTTCGACACGTTAAGCGAAAACGTTTTAAATAATGTCAATCTTTATCTTACAGTCCTTTATTATTTCTAAATCCATTTTCAGTTAAGGTGTATTGGAAAACGCGTTGAATATGTACCGTCTACAAAGAAACCAGAAACAAAATCTATAAAGAAAGGAGGGGCGAGAAAAAGCAAAAAGAAAACAGGAAAAAGTGCGAAGAAGACTGGGAAGAGTAAAAAGAAGAAAAAGTAGATACAAAATTACGTTTTTCGATCCACGAAATCATAACCCAAGTCACAGCTACCAAATTTTATTTAAAGAACATAGATCTTTAGGAGAGTTTATAGTACCCCAGTAGACAAAGTGTTTGATTAGCAACATTATAATTTAATAAACATGAGTACTCAGTATATTATTGGAAAGTGGTACAGTTACACAATGAAATATATTGGTTATTATGAGATATTACTCGTTTTTTCATTTTGGTTGCTAGCTTTAACTAGGGTGAAAGAAATTGGATTTTGATGTTTACATATTCCTGTGATCCATCTAATTGGATTTCATTTTAGAGGAGATAAAATATTTAATAAGTGATTAAGTGACTACAGTCGTGTTATTGATGAGTCAAATGGTTGTGATAAAAGTATTGCAAACCGTAATAAATTTTAATTCGTGAAACAATACTATATTCAAGAATGCAATTCATGTTAAAACTATAAGACTGTCACAAACATACATCCCCATTCTCCCCAAATTTTAAAACGGGACGAACATTAGGGAAGTTGGAACTTTCGGAATAATTTTACGGACTATTACTTATACTTTCTTATTGAATAAATAGTAGATAACTGTATTGTTGTATTTCTATATTCACCTTATGGAAAGCTTTTAATTGACCTATTAACTGTTGTTGCACGGTTCACTATTCCTTAGTCACTGCGAATAAACTATGTATTGTTTGCTCCGCACTCTACCACTTATGATATGATTGTGTTTAAAGTGTGGTTCCTTATTCACTGTGTTATGTAGCCAGTCGTTCCAAGTATATTATTGTCTGAGTTTCAAGTCACTGATGAACTGGGTAAAATAGAGAACTAATATGCCTTCTACTAGTCTTTTGGTTGGCTACTGGGTTAGAAAGAACTTGAGGACCAATAAACATTACCGTATTGACTGTTATTTATTGGTTAGTGTGTCGATTGGTAAACCGATGAGCGGTCCTACTGGGAGTATATGTGAACTAGTCGATAACCCGAAGTATGCTTGGTAAATCTAGCGAGTGATACCAATTAGAATCTCAAGTCATAACACATTGGGGATCAAAAGACAATACCAAGCTTGTGCAACCAACTGTCAACAGGGATGGAAGTGTAGTTATCATTAGGTGTACCATTTTTCTTCCACTTTGCTCAGCTATTTTCCATCCTAATGGGCAGCTGATTGGAGGTCTATATCTTACACTTGTTGGTAGAACATGCTAGCGACGATACTCATGGAGAAAATATAGTTGTTCTCGAGTGGAAGCCTGTCTTTTGGCGATGTCCTCCCATTTTCGAACAACGAGAAGCGTATTACGCTCATATGCTTTTGAGATGGTGGAGCTACAAATCTTCACCATGAAAAATCAGCCATTTAAACAAATAAAGGCTTATTTTCCCCGTGTATAGTGCGAAATAAGGAATTTCTATAGTAGAGGGCTGTTATTTAAGCTTATATACTGCTCTAATATCGGAAGTTCTAAAATATTCGACTTCTGAAGCCATTGCAGCGTAGTTGATTTAATAATCAAACAAAAATTTAGTCTTGCTTAGATAAAAAAGTAGACAGTTGGAATGATTGTATTAAAACTATTCGCAAGACTCAATGCCGAAATTCCAATTCTTTCTAATTAATGGCTAAAGTCCTTAAGTGAAATGGTCTAAAGTAGGTTATAATAACCCAGGTACTTTCATCCTTTATCTGTTCTTAGATCTTCAAATTCGGTGTTATTTCATAATTTTTATTCTGTGAAGTGATTTCTTTTTTCCGACGACATTTTTTATGTCAATTTCTGTTCAATTACAGACACTATTACTACTACAAACTCTTTGTTATGAATCATTTTTCAGTGATGATGAGTTTCGATAACTTCAGCTGATATACATTTGCGCCACAATCTACATTGACTATGACTAAAATACTTGTACTACAAAATTGGTTACTGAAGGACTCAGAAATAAATCATGGCAAAGTTATGATGGGGTTTTGTTCTCTGAGCTGGAGAACAAAACCCCATCAAAATCATTCACCTGAGCTACAAATCTCCACCATCTCATGAAAAAGTTAGCAAATCAATGTATCCTTTTGAAATTTGAATTAACATATTAAGACACATAGAGCTTATAGTTTTACACATTCCTGTTTTTATGATTTTAAAAATCTGTTTATGTAAAAGAAATACTTATTCTTCAATTTACAATTGATTCCGGAGACCAAATTACTGACTGATCGATGAAGCTCTTTATAGTTTCTGAGTTTTTTTGTATAGAAGTACGTTCAAAATTCCACAATTTTATACACAATTAGAAATCAGAATATTTTTGGCTGAAATAAAGACATCAAATCTATTGAAAAATTTAGATCAAGCAAGATTTCAATATAAAACAATTCATAGTCGTACGAAAATCACTAAAACCAATCATGACTTATATAAAACTAAATAAAATGAAGATGTAATACATAACCCGCAAGGATAATTGACACCATCTAAAAATAAGACAAAATAACGACAATAAAAGTAATGGTCGAAAAGGATTGACAACATACACCAAGCATATACTTTACTATTCTAGTAAAAACTTCACGATCACAAACCAAAGTCAGATATCGCAACATACTGACAAAAAGCATAATATAACTAAGTCCATATTCGTTAAAAATCAATAATATGTGGAGAGGTGGCAATACGTAACGTGGTAGAAACAAGATTTTTTGCGACATTGTGAAACTATTGCATTAGTTCTAGTTGCAAAGTCGTGAAATGCAACCAGAAAAAATCTGATAGGAAGAGAAGATACGAATTATGAAAGAATAATAGTGACTACTGATTTTTATTATTTAAGAAAAACTTATCACATTACAAGCACAATGCAACAAAAGAAAACTGAGTATATGACAAAATACTGATATATTATATTTAATGTCTCCTGTGTAACTAAGGCCCTAATCTGTGAAGTTGGTCGTTCAGGTCTTGATAAATATCTATACAACCTAAATATCGATAATTAAAAATATATTTACCAGTAGAATCGATACACCAAATTATTTTAGTGAAACTTATCAACAACAGTCAAGCTCCTTCACTGAACCTCTACAAGTGTATATTAAATTTCTCCCCTTGAACTTGCAATCGACTAGGAGAAGAACTATGAATAAATGTTATATCTCGATACAGTCAGTCTATGGTCTTTGTTTCAATGTCGACCCAGTGCCAAAATACCCCGGTATGGTCGAGGGTGGAGAGAGTCAACTCTCTCGAAATGTTCTCACATGGCCACGCGTATACAACCACTGTCACGGAAGTCCTACTCACTACTTTCTCGTCGCAAGGGTGTTGTATACGAAACTGAGGACAAAAAGTAAATGTCTGGCGCTTTAACCGGGTTGATGAATATGGAGAATTCAGCTAGGGGGGTTGGAAAACCCTGACTCCAAATCAATGGTACACATGGGCTCCAGAATCCAGCTGGAAAAACGGCATATGAGTCTACTGTTGGTCACCGACTACCACGGGACTGCATCTCCTGACGTTGTTCCACTGCCTTGTGGATTAGACCTCTAGGTCAAAGGCTCGAAGAGTGATCCTCTAAAGAAACCACTTAAGTCTTGGCACTCAGACAGTATTCCAGCACTTACACAAATCAAATGAAGCGTGGTACATGCATATTTGGTTCCTTCTTGTACCAATGTTTATGTGTTTAAATAAATAAATGAACCGGTTGGACTCCTACTACTTACAAATCACTTTCATTACAACCTCACTAACTGATCTTATGTAAGTAAATCCTTGAACCTCGCCATTAATAAAGAGCAACGGATATGTCCTGATGCTATGTTATTACTTACTTCCAAGTTTCTTAGTACTATCTTGAGAATCCATAACACCGGAATTGTGCACTGCTACATTGTATGTTATCTATTCGTATATTTAGTCAATTTTATCAGTGACATTATCTAAATTATAACTGGTCATTTTGTACGTTTAAGGCATACAATATTCCGTTTGAATGAATTTATATAAGGCTCTGTGAATACACAAAATAGGAACATAGTATTCATATTTGTTATATTTTTTTTAGCAAAATAATAAATTTACATCAGTTCTTCATTAAACAACTCGTCGATGGCAAGCTCTCCTGACTGCTTATCTTTGAGATACTTTTGAAAGCCAGTGGTTTGTTTAAATTTGTTGATCAGTCGTTCGATCTGTTTGGATGTCAACTGATAAACATTCTTTGGATCTCTACTCATAGACTACAAGATAGAAAGAAATATATCTCAAATTAACGCACTCACTTCGAAATCATCCTCAGGATACATCTCTAAGTTGTATATGCAAAACAGCTGATCATCTCCGGAGACAAACACAGGTTTTTGCTTTTTATGTTTGGCTAACTCTTCTAAAACTATAATTGAGTAGTGTAGAACATATTGAATAAACAACGAATAATCTCGCCTTTTACGACACTAGTCTTTTTCTGTCTCGGCATATTTTTTGTGACTGCATCATTATCATCATACTCTCCATTTGTTAAAACCTGTAGTTAACAAAAACAGAACTAGTTAGATAATTCTGACAAGACTACCTGACCACAATTATTTCCAAGTGCTTCATTTGCATCGTAAGCTAAACCCAAACGGTTAAAATTTGATTTAACAGATAATCCATACTTCCAAGCTGAATTAATGACTGGACTGATATGAAACATTAATCATTAAATAAAAATTAATTTATAGAGATAGTTTGTATCCAATAAATGGAAATTAAACACAAATTTAAAGAGCAAGAGTACGTAAACTTAGTGCAATATCATGACTGCATCAAATGCCTAACCGCCTATAGTTAAAAGACCAGTTATCGTACTTCAACAACTACTTTATTAGTGCATAAAGAAATTAAAGACATTCAAACCATTGACACTATGCAGCTTAAACACTAGGTCAGCTGAGTTCATATTGAACTGAGATCATCTCAATGATCAGATGTCAACAGTTCAAAGAACAGGGAAAGTTAAAGATAGGAATAAGTGTCGTCAAATGTAACCAATACAAGACGACTACAGTTACATGTTTAGAATGTGAAATAACAGCTGGCCACAGTTAAAAAATTTCGCAAGGATTAATACTGGCTAAGGAAGATAAATAACAGCAACATTATTGAATGTGAATGGTATAATTATTTTTTACAAAATATTTTTGAAGACCAAGGAAGATACAAACGTAACGAGGGTATCAAATGAATTTGGTGCTTACACTTAACTGATATATAACCAAGCTCTGATACTAAATAGAAAGAAATTACAAGTGTAAAATGAGCTAAGACCCTTCACTTAAAATGACTTACTTTTTGATTTTTAATTTTGCCTTTTGTTTTTTGCCTAACCGCTTCCGATTTCGAGAATAACTGAAAGTGTGCTTTTTCCCCATCTGCAAAGAAGGGAAATTAAAAGTGGTCTGAAACGTTTAAAATAAACACAAATATTAAACAACAAAGATATAAGAAGCTTAAGGTAACACACCTTCCGAACGTTTTGTTTATGTCAGTATTCTAAATAACCCTGAATCTTCGGATTTTCTGTCAATATGAAATATACGAAAGTATGTAACGAGATTTTTCCAGGAATCACATACGTTGATAATTTCCAGTTCATGCTCTGAACAATCAACCCAGTAACCAAGTAAAGCTTTGGAAACTCGTATATATATATATATATATATATATATATATATATATATATATATATATATATATATATATATATATATATATATATTCGGTGCCCTCTTGTACCAATGTGTTCAAATAAATAAACTGTCCAAACCAAACTCCGTAGGTATCCTTTAAAAACTAAAACCCGGTAGTGGAAATCAAGTCCTTCGACGATAAGGAGTGATAATAAAAATGTGACTTCTTTTCAAAGTACAGGCTTAAGTACTTATCTTGAATAATAACCAGTTGGAACCTTAGATTTACCAGTCGATACCGAATGCCACTGTTTTATATGACAATTGTCATGGCAGTTTAAACCACTCCGGGTTTCGTAGGTTCTTTAATCATTAGGTATAGTAGCCTAAGTAGAAAGGACAAGAAGTTGAAAGTTGCTTTGTCTTCTTCTTTGAAACACACTGAGGCAGATTGTAGACACATTTGTAACAACCTACGTTTCTGTTAAAACATCACTTTGAATTATGTCCTAATAGTTTGGGAAGAAGCAAAAGATATGTATGTCCTCGCCTCGTCGGAAAACGGTTGTCTTCCAGGGGAATTAAGGTGAAAAGCCTAGTTAGATAACTATTATTCCGGTATATCCAAAAAGCGCTGTCCAACGGAACGGTTGACAATTTACTTAAGCACACTGAGTAGACACTCCAAAAGAAACTTTGTTGAGAGCCCATCTAATAAATCTATTGAAAAGGACGTCAGACATCAACATAACTATACTTGAAAAACATCACTACGAGTCATTTGCACCTTGTCGCAAACAGGTTTTAGAATCCAGTCAATATTCCCAAGCTCCCAACGTTTGGGGAAATTCCCCAAAGTTTACCATAGCGGCTACCCCAAAATGGGTCAAATTTTCCCCGAAATTGGGTTATATTAAACCCGGTCACAAAAACATTCGTAAAATGATTGCTAGGTTGTACGATGAGAATAATGTTCAGTGTTGTCGAAAATATACAGACTACTGCACATGACATACAAAAGAAACTAAGCCATCCACAGATACTGACCTACAGGTTGGGATTCGAATTTTTCTGTGGGCCTTCGAAGTTCAATATTTACGACGGTTTTATGAAAAAATTTTAGTACTTCCGAGAGATTGAGGATGGAACCGGTTAAGAATCTCTCATTTTCAAAGGTGAAAGATCACTTATCTCCCGTGTTGTGGTCTAGGTATGTGGAAACAATCAGTTTCAGTTCGGAAAGGACGGGAGGCTTGGTGGCCTGTGTTAGTCCTGGCAATGATGATCTCTCAGTTGATCCAAATTTCTTTTGAAGGAGTTGAAGGATACAGCTTCAATCACGTGTTGAGATAATAAATTCCACCCGCTGATGGTTCGATGATTAGATTGATATTCAGGTAATTTGTTCTGCGCTTGCGAACATTTTTGGAGTGTCTTCGTAAATTTTCTGTTTTGGAAGACAAAAAATAAGAACATATCAGATACAAATTTATCACCATATGGTTTTAAAACTGTAATCAAGTCACTTCTAGTCCTTCAATATGACACAGGAATAGGCTTGGCTTTGCCAGTCGGGCATCATACAAGAGCTTTGCCATACCGGAAATCAGCTTAGTTACAGTCCTTTGGAATTTCTCCGGAAGCTCTCTGTCTCTTTTTAGATAGGGGATAGCCGCTTGTATGCAGTACTCGAGTTTAGGCTGCACGGATACTTTATACAAAAAGGATTGATAATCAACATGGCTATAGGCCCTAGGTGTTGACACCAAGGTTCTGAAACCTTTGGAGGTTGTCGCACGTCAATGTACAGTAATTTTTAAGTCTTGGCTAACGATGAATCTTAAGTCATTGTGTGTCTGAACAGCAGGCAACTCACTGTTATTCACCGTGTATGTATCTTTACATTGATGACCAATATGCATCGCAATGCACTTGGAAGCATTTGTATGCAACTGCCAAATTTTAGAACACTCAGACAATTTCTTCAAGTCATTTTGAAGCTCTAAATTATCACCTTTGCTTCGTTTATCACTCTCCACATCATGATATTGCCAGTATACAACAAGAGCGATAATGATGGGAGAGGAGGAAGGTCATTTACATACAAGTGGAATAACGCTAACCCCAAAACTGTACCCTAAGGTACTTCGCTAAGCACAATTTCCCGGCTAAACAACTTTGAGTTCACCCGTACTCCTTGTTAGCGCCCAACTAGGAAGTTTTCTATCCACATTGTTAGATAGACTGCAACCCCTACGTTTCTTAACCTATATAACACTCCGTTGTGGTGAATTTTATTGAAAGCTTTTCTGAAGTCAATGTAGGCCACGTCTATAGGTAGGCAAGAGCGTACAGGCTTTCACGAGCCACTAATAAGCTTATGAGGCAGGAATAACCTATTCTACAGCCATGATGCTCCTCCAAAGGGATCCGGCTTTCATCGAGATACTTAAACAGATCCTTCCGAATAATTTTTTCGGAAATTTTAACAACCCCACTGATTAGGCTACCGGACTGATAGTTCTCAGGTTCATGTTTCGTGCCTGTTTTAAAGACAGGACTTACTATGACGTTCTACCAGTCTCTTGATAGTCGACCCTGGGTTACGGAGAGATTAAAACTTAAAGTTCAGGGGTCCGTAACAAAGTTAGCTAGTTCCTTTAGTAACTTGGGACGCAGTTCATTGAATCCATTGAATTCGCCTGTATCAAGCTCGTTTGGCAAACCAAGGACATCGAGTTCTTTAATATTCACGTTGTCCGCTGGGTGTGTGGATTTGTGTAGACTGATAGGAAGGGTGTTTCCACGGTATATGCATTGCTAAAGTAGCTTGAGAATACTTGAGTTTTACCATCGTCTTTCTCTACTGTTGATAGAGTCAATCGGTACACCTAGTTCCGAACGTTAGTTGAGAAAGCTTTGAGAATTTGTGTAACAGATCCGAAGCTCATTTAAATGGCAGAAACGTGAAATTTTTGGTTAATAAATGAGATTCAAATTCATAGACACTGTATTGAGACCTTAAGAAAATGCCAGTTGTTTTAGGAAATGTGTGTGAAAGATTTGATCTTTTCCAGAGTTCCTCTATCCATTGTGGTCGCGTTGGTTCACACACTGTTGTATTTCGGGATCTTCCTTCTCCCCATGTGTATACTGAGGTCTGTCGATGCAGAGGCTGCCGCTACACTGTTCGTCTTGACCTGTATTTATTGATGTGTATGGGATAGATGGGCCAGGTCATCTGAGAAGTCCAAATCGTCTAGTTGCATCCAACCTGTTCATTTTATTCCGTGTCGTCTCTCAAATGTGGTCATCATAAACCATTCAACCACCAGAAGAAAGAGAAAATGGGAAGCAGGCAGCCATATCTCATTCCGGTCCCGTCTTGGAATGTATCTGTCAGTCGTCCTCCATGCACCACTTTGCACTGTGGTTCGTCGAATGAATTCCGGATGATGTTGACAATTTTCTCAGGCACTCCGTAGTGCCGAAGAACTTTCCACAATATCCTCCCATTCACATTGTCAAGTGGTTTCTCGTAATCAAGGAACTTGACATATAGTGACAAGTTCCATTCAATTGATTGTTTAACGATGATCCTTAGTGTTGCGATTTTGTCTGTGCACGACCGATCCTTACGGAATCCGGTCCGTTGGTCTCAAAGTTAAGTGTCTAGTGAGCCGTTCGTGTTGTGTTAAAAACCTTTTTTGGTGCTAACAGTAGTGTGATACGTCTGTAATTCTCTCATCTGCCCAGATTTCCTTTCCGTGGTGTCTTGATGAGGTATCCTTCTTCACAGTTCATCGGCACTTGTTCGTCTTCCTAAATCTTCCCGAATAGAATGTTGAGCATGTTTGCAGTTACTTGAATGTCTGACTTTAGTGCACCAGCTGTTATATTGGCAGGTCCTGCTGCTTTCCCACTCTTGATTTGTCTGATAGCCATCTTGATTTCTTCGATCACTGGTGGAGTGACATCTATAGAGAGGTCTGTGTGCTGCCTCGATGTCGGGTGGATTCAGTGGAGCTGGCCTATTTACGAGTTCCTCGAAGTGTCCTACCCGTCCGTTCCTTCGTCTTATATCCCAGTGAAATTAAATTACGGGCAGCTTCTGAGAACCGTTATTGGGCAAATATTATATATATTCTTATTGTATAAGTATTCAGCTACTAAAATGTGTATATTTATATTCTACTTATTATGAGCTGTATTTTGACCTAAAGATTATAATTATACGATCTACCATTCATAAATTATACTTATTTTGTTGATTAGAGTCTCCCATAATCACTGACACCTTTTGGCTTGATATCTTACAAATATCATTTCTTATTTTGTTGTGTGATGTGGTCTTTTTCGCTTGTATATAGACCAGGTGTGTTTGAAATAACTGATTCGTATTATGGAAGTCGGTGTTGGAGTCTTGGACTAAACTGGCAGGGATAGGAAGAAAAAGGACTAACAAAGACGCTAGACTGCTTATACCGGTCGAACGTCGTTGGTTTGGCACAGTATTAAGATTGTATGTGTTGTATTTCGATTGGCGAATACGTCACGTGATAACTAACCAGCATTAAACTCACAACAAACTGGCGATGGAGATTTTACGGATAAAATACATAACAAATACAAATCTACATTTTACGTCCGCATTGTTATCAAAGTAATTCGCTAACAGAGTATATATGAAGTTAATTAAGGAACTATGCACCATCATACCTCATCAAAATCAAATGGAATATATAACAGACATTAAATCGGTGAGTACAACTATGATAAATCTATTCCTTCATGTTTCACTTAAAAATGCTGATTATTTCTTCATTCAATACTGAACGAGTACACACAAAGATTTGCAAATCTCTCCCTAATTTCGTTTCCTTCTTCCAGGCCATGTCGTCGCACCGTTGTTGTCCATTCCGACTTTGGCGTCTAGGTTTCCCATCGGCACTTCACTGTATTTGATTTCAACCTCTCGTCGTTGTCACTGCTATCATCTAGTTTCAGGAACC